ACACTTTCTCTCGAGAATAAATCTTAGTCTCGCTGAATCTTTCTGACCCTTTTTTTACAATCACGAGACATCACAGTTATCAAATTAAAAAAAAATTCAGTCACTTGGAAAATTAAAAATATAAATCGATAAAATCTTTGATTGGTAATATCTCGTTGACTAGACATCTCTGAGCCCTGAGACTTCTACTGGAGGTTCTTCTCGACAATTGGTATGGTTTTCATTTTTTTTGTGTTTTTTTTGTGTCTTTGGTAGTTTGTAGTTTGTTCTTCATTTTTAGATATTTCATCATTTCGTACAAGACAATTTGCCTGAGTGGTTAAAGGGTGTGACTCGAAATCACATGGGCTCTGCCCGCGCAGGTTCGAGTCCTGCAGTTGTCGATTTTTTGTGTTTTTTATTGCGCTAGTTAAATACTGGCCAATCAAAATGATGGAAATTGTTATGATTTTTTTGGTTCCGACCGCGTCTGGTACCTTTCGATTACTCGTTTGTTTTCTAAAACGCATCAAATGTTATAGGAATATCTTTACTATTCATAGGCGGAAAAGCATGCTCTAAACCGTTGCGGGGTTTTGGACTATATATTAACAACATCACAATAAGGAAAATATTTCATGTTCTATAGACAGTTAGAGCATGTCGGGAAAACAAGTTACAAAGAAATTACTTTGGTATTAGTGTTGATATTTACTCTTGTTTGTGTAGTATGTCGATATAATTCATGTTGTGAGACCAATAGTCTAGGGCCTTCGGTCGATTATGGTCATCGATAATACGATCTTAGGATAGGCCCGTTATAAACAAGACTTTTATGTATAATGCATAATAGTAAATGGAGTTAGTGCCTAATCTGACATCCACCCCTAATAGTAAAAGAATAATGTGGATGTCTATGATAACAACACATCTCTTTCAAATAAGTACTTTCAGTCTCACGTACTTTGGATTAACCCCCGATCTAACACGCTACAACACAGGGCCATTCATATACAAAGTGAGGGTCTGTCAATGAAGCATAGCATGTTCAGATCTTTTATATGCGTTGTCGGTATCTTGCTCTGACCTTTCGGCTTCATTGGTGTCCTGTTAGATGTCTAAACTTATTATGACGAGGAACAACATAGAGCTACGGGCAACGGCGGTCACTTCGGACAACGACACATACTTGAGCATTGGCGCCCAGTCAGATAATGTGTATCTATTCGCCCATTCCTTCATGCCAAAGGTGTGCCCAATTTCGTATTACTTATGAACACCTGTTTTTACATGGGATGAGTAGCAAGTGTCGGACAAGATGTTGATATAACATCTTAGTCTGTGGTCCCGTCAACGCCACTGTACCATCTATTCCAAAGCATCCTCATACCATGAAGGAAGCGAAGCATTTGACAGTATTCTCTATGTAAACCACCCCCCCTAGTCTTTGCGCAGAACTGGGTGTTGCCTGTCGTCGCTGTGCAATGTGAATCTCAATTCATCTGATCAGTAGCTCTAAACCAGTGCTCTGCATCCAATTAATGTGAGTTCTGTTCATTTCAGCTATCTGTCCTTATGATTGTCGTTCAGCTGAGGATCCCAGCAAGGTACGCGAGAGGGGAAGCCCAGGAAATGCCTTGCCTTGCGGAGAGTATTCGGACGCATATTGACATGGTCATTCGAACACTCTACGTGATGCTGTGCCAATCATTTGAATAGTTCACGGCAGATGTTGAGCTCGATGGCACGTTTTGCACGTTTTATCACTTTCTGCGGCCCTCCTGAACGGGGTACTGGGGGCCAATCACCAGTCTTCATCATGGGATGTATAACGGAATTCACAGTCGAATAGGGGGTGCTCCTGGCTTTCGCAATGACACTATAGGGCTTGTTTGCCTGTCGCATGCAAAAATGTGGATACTGTCCAAGGATTCTACGGAGGGTTGTGTTCTTTTGAGGGTGCATAAATAACCATTAAAGATTATCAATCTAAGATGTTTAACCTATAATTAGTTGGCACAGCTACTTCACATATTGGTTTTCCCATGATTCGACATTAATTTTCCAGAACTCCCTTGCAGTGTCATTTATCTTAGGATTGCTTTGGGTATAATGGAAGAGTTTTCGGTTAACTGTGCTTACAGTATTTAATGGTGTTATTTAATTACTCTTCTTTTTATTTTTGCCATTATTTGAGCGCTTGCCGTAATGGATAGCAATTTTAATCGATCTTTGTCCTCAGCACGAAACTAATCTAGGTAAGAAGACAAGGTGTTGATGCACTGATCAGTTTTGACCGCAGACACTGGGAAAATACTCTCTCCATCAATTGATGACTGTCTTCACTTTTCTTCTTCGTCTTCTGTGCAGAACATGGTCAACACCGTCGTCGTCCTATTTTTTTTTTTTTTTTTTTTATTTTTCAAAGCAATGCACGAGTATATGACGGCTGTAAATACGTACAAAGTTAATGAATAAATAGTTTACTTTTTTTACGGGTTTTTATTCGACATACCGTTAACAATTACAAGATTTCTTTATCAAAGCGAATATTTTCTTGTGGATCACGCTTGTATGATGAAGAGCCATTTACCTGTCAAAATGTAGGCTGATGTTATTTTTGTTTAACCATCCGATCCGCGAGGATAACAAAATTTCCAGGCTTTCACAGCACTATTCTTATAGAAACGCTTTTAAAAATACAGACTAAGAACTGTTGTGGTTTAATACTTCTTTTTTTTTAACAAATAGTTAGAGCTTGCACCTCATCTCAGCGCTGGAACACGCTTATTCATGAGAATGGCATCATTAACTAACTAATACTTTTTTTTCACTTCTCAGTGGTCATCGAACAAGCGAATCTTATTGCGATGTGCAAGCATTGTGTTCTGTTTTGCGACAGTAGCTATTGATCATTTTTCTCTTCTTGTAAGTAAATGTTGTACAAACTCAAACACTGCTTATTGACAACATTTCACAGTGTATAACTTTGGCTATTGTGCCGCCGTGCTCTACCAAGATGTTCCAGTATTGTTAGTTTGGGTCAGTATGCAGTAGTTACGAGTTCCTTTGCCACCGATATCCCGTTTGTAAGTAAATGATTCTGCACATCAAAGAAAGTTACTCAGTATCTGTCAGAAGCATCATCTCGTAGTGCAGCTTCATCGCTGAAGCCTGCAGTAGTGAATTGACAAGTCTCTGAATCACCACATAGTAGTGGAACAGGCATGCCTCGTCTTCGACAGAAGAAATATTCTTTACTGTAGTTTCCGAAGTCGCGATTTCACTACTGATATGCAACATATCCTGCCCCTATTAAGGATTGGGAGTTAAGGAGCTTCCAACCAAAAGCCCAACTGTTAGGCACGGGGTTCGCTTTAGTCTGGTAGTGCAGCAGACGAAACGCCTCAGACGTTCGTAGGTAGGAAGACTCAAATATTGCTTCATTTTTTACTGACGTCATTTGGATGAATCCTGAGGTGCAAATAGCGAAATTCCATAGCGAATCCTCAGATGCAGCGTAACCAAATCTCCAGGTGCGGCGTAACCAAGTTGCACTTCATTTAAATGTAAATTCATTGCCAGACATCGTGTCAATGTTACACGCGTCTAACTAGTAGTACAGTAAATCAAAAGGGGAGCTCATACGTCAACCCCCTTTTCTTGCCTCTTCTCCTTCAAACTCCACCGTCATCCTACTAAATCATCATCTACTTGTATCTCTCACTCGTCATTTATACATACTTTAATTTATACACAAACAATCTTCATTGAAATAGTGTGCTTCGATCTACTTGGAGTTCCTTTCACACTATATCAAAACCAACTTTGTTTTTCCTTCACTGACGACGAATACCCATGACAGAAATCATCAAAGAAGGCTACCTCTCTGTCAAGGAAGATGGTCTTCGTGCATGGATATGGTCTAAACGCTATTGTGTTTTACGAGATCAGGCCTTGACGTTTCATAGAAATGAGGTACCGCTTATTTTTAATATAAATTTCGGGGCGTTTCGCTCAATCCTTCCCTGAATACAAAAAAAAAACATAGACTTCCAAAGCAGATCATTAATCAATTTTTTGTATGTAGCAATCGGGCCAGTGCGTTGCGCTGGTGTTTCTGAAAGAAATTACGGCTGTCACACGAACCGATCTGAAACCATATTGCTTCGAGACAGCCACGAAAGAGAAAACGTATTACATTGCATGCAAGAATGATGAAGAGCTTTATTCATGGATGGATGAGATTTATAATGTGAGTAGCGTCTCTAGTAGAGTTAAAAGAGATGACACGTGTATTGGTTATACAATGCTTTTTTCATAACACTTACGGCTTATGCGATAAGCGATCTCCGGTCGGTGCCTCAGGTCCGACAAATTTTGTCCACGAGGTTCACGTTGGCTTCGACCCAATCACGGGTGCTTTCACCGTAAGTAGCAATTACACCCGTTCATAGGCTAATATGCCTGGCTTTGTATCTTAGGGTCTTCCTGACCAATGGACGAAACTACTCAAAGGCTCAGCCATTACCGCTGAGGATGCAGCAAAAAATCCACAGGCTGTATTGGATGTCTTAGAATTTTACACAGAACAGACAAAAAGGGAAGCTGAAGAGTATGGATCATCAAATCTTCAAGGCGCAGTAGAGCGTATGAGTGATGACAGATGGGCCGCACTTATCCAAGATAGCAAAGCATCTGCAGCGCCCGCCCGCACAGCTCATCGACCAGCACCTCCACCACCAGCCAATGGTAATCGTAACGTAAACGACGTGATGGATGAATTATCTATCAGTCAGCCGGTAAGCTGAATAATACCGCTGCTAGGTATTAATGCTAATTTTAGGAACGTAACCTTCCACCTAAACTATCCCCACCGCGTTCTCCAAACACATTAGAATCTCCCAGAGACCAGGTTCCCCTTTCACCTGGCCATCGGGCTCCTCCTTCACCGGTAATCCTCAGTTGCACTGAGTAGTCGTGACACTAACCTAATATCACCAGGGTCTTCATCCACGTTCGCCGCGCGACGTGAGCCCAATTCGTGCACAATACCCGCGGCCAGAGCCTTCTAGGTCTCACGGAATATCATCATCCCAAAGGTCACCTGCTCGGAGTAGCAGCATCTCTGCTTATGATGATCGTGTATTATACGAACGTGAGAAGCAGGAGCGTGAACTGCGTGAGCGTGAGCGTGAGCGTGAGCGTCGTGAACGCGAGCGCGAGAAGGAGAAGCAACGCGAGCGCGAGAAGGAGCGAGAGCGCGAAAAGGTACGGGAGCGTGAAAAAGAACGTGAACGTTTGCAGCGCGAACGAGAGCGTGAGCGCCAGTTGAAAGAACGCGAGCGCGAGAGAGAGAAAGCCGAAATTCAAGTGTCTACGCCAAAGAAGAAGGTGGAACAGA